CTCGTTGGATCTATTTGGGAATGGTGATCGTTGAAAATTCGCCTTACGGGAGCAAAAAGCTTACTTTGAATTGATTCTCAGGATTTCAACTTTTTCGCTTCTCGTAGGACGTGTTCGGTGAACGATTTCATGAGCCTTATTCATTAATCGATTATTGCTGATCACACATTGGTTGCTCAGTTCCTTTTACCTTCGCTCCTTCTCCATGTCTCTCGTTTTCAGTTCCTGACATTATTTTATTTAGCCCGAAAATGCTTCTTTGCAAGTATCACCCAACAAGATTAACTTTCAGTTCCTGTCTAGGTAACAGGATTACTACCATTTAGGGTTCTCATCCAAATCAGTCAGCAGTATTCTTTCTGTGGAGTGAAACGTTTCGTACTCATACTTGTGTGTGTTTGGTGCGCATCTGAAGAGGCGACTGGTGGATTCTCAGTATCTGGGAGGGTATTAAAGGATTGATCATTGTTACGATACAAGACGTAAATGGACTGGTTAGTTGTCTGAACACGGATCAAGAGGCTTTCATTCAGTGACTAACCAACTGTTGCAGTTCAGATGTTTCTTTCTGTGGACGCCTATTTCTCTCTATTCATGTGAATCTCTCAACAAGAAGAACTGTTCTCAGTAAGGCATTTACATTGTGATAGTACGATTGCTGTGCCGTGCAACAACGTACCCGATGTGCTCCTGATATAAATAAGCTTGTTTATCAAAACAATGGGGCTGTTTATTTCTCCACTGTGTAGATGTTCAGACACACAGGTGATCAACTCAAGCGGTCTTATTTTTGTTTATCAATGGTCGTACAGGTGAGTTTATTGCTATGCACACGAACTGTTGCTCATTTCTATTTTGTTTGCACCTCGTTCGGTTGCTTATCGCCCATTTGAATATGAGTTGTATCCATCTCACAAGCTAAGCGCGTGGGTGTGGGCGTTTCAAGTTTGTGAAGTTGATCGAATTCAGCATTCGGAAATCGGTTCCAAAGATTTCAATCCTTCGTTTGGGGGCTCAGAGAGAGCGATAGAAAAGTTGTCCTTTTCCCTGTTCATCCCGTTCCAGACCTGACACTCAGCTACGGTTTGCCTCATTTCTTTGTGCGATATACATCCGGTCTATTGTTGTTCATGGTTCACTAACTCCCCCTCACCTCCTTCAATGAATAACTAGACGAATTTAATCACCTGGTTGATACATCAATTTCATTGAGACGCTGATAGTAAATGGGTGGTGCTTCGATAAAACGTATTAGAAAGCTTTCAACTGTGGATGTTTTATCTCACGCCTGATGCACATTGCGTGGTGTGTGTTTGTGCATGTGTGAATAGCAGGTGAGGAATTACATGGGACAAGCTCCGAACTCAAAGCAGATTAGACAAAAGAGAGAATGATTCTATGATTAAACTGTCCCCTCCACCCCCCCCCCCCCCCCCCCCCAGGGCCAGGACTCTGGTCGGTCAACAAAATGAAGCATTCTGTTTCCCCATGGGTTGAAATCTAAGTATGAAAAGAAGAACCCAGTAACATGTGCTCTCGCTAAAGTACCAAGTCTCTCAAAGAGATAAACCACGTGATGTAGTTAAAGCGTTATCACACTTCATTACTCAATGATTTTTTGTTGTAGCAACCGGATAACATTTAGGATATCTATTATGATATTTGTACAACTACGGCGTAATACGTTTTTCCGTTGTACTAACCAAAACTACGCATGCTACTATTTATCGCCTCACTCGGCTGCTTCCTCCCTGGTACATTGGAAGGTTCTAACCTGCAAGGCTAAGCATTTATTTTGGCTGCTTTCATAGTAAAAACAGGTTTCCGAAAACGAATGATCACCTTATCTGTTCGGCTCAGAATGTGAAACCCCTTCAATCGAGGTAGTTTAGTTTAAGCTCCAATTGCACCAGAAAGCGGTGTGATTCTATTTATTTCCTGAAAAAGATGTGAAAGTAGTGGATTTATGATCAACGAAAAGAGCCCTGCAAATCCTCGATCAATGTAATGTTTTTTAGCTAAAAAGAGGCTGAAGTATAACAAAGTCGAATCTGGGCCTGAGTGTTCAAAACAGCTAAACTTATATCCTGAACAGAATTTGAATGTGAACTTTGGTTGAACAAGAACAAACATCTGTGACGTGTGATAATCTCTGCGTCACACGTGCCAAGTTTTCATCCCTGTTTCGGTAGAGTATAAGAAAAATATATCCGTGTTACATTAGCTGATTTAGTGAAGACGATATTCGGAATGATTAATATACGGTCTCAAAAGCAAACATTAAAAAATTAGGCTGACTTTGATTAGCATAAACAAATTGAATGAATTGCAGACAACGGTTTGCTGACCACCGAATCCATACGAATCATTTTTTCTACTTTATATCAATAGATAAAAAGAAGAGAGAAAGTGAACTTCATATTTTTAGTCCCAAGCTTTCGATATTATATCAGCTGACTGAGTACAGCACTTTTTTTTGTTGATCAAACAAGTGATGAGGGGACACAAATATCTGCGAAGGAAATCAGATGTTAGAAAAAGCTGGTGTAATTGTGATGCTTGGCGTTGGTGTGTGTATCGTGGAAGGTGGATGATGAAGGGTGGTCGTGAAGGAGTTAGTTGATGAAGGAATGAGAGTTTGAGTTCATGAACGGAGTTTACGTCTCCGGATTGTAAGTCAATGGCCATCGGGTGACCAGTGTTCTTGCAAAGCGTTACGGGGCCCACAATGCGGATTGTGGAAACGGATGGCAATCGCCCCGGCCGTTTATAAAATTCGGGACTTGACCGCCTTGGATAAATTTCTCTTGACTTTAGAACAAGTAGCCTCAATCAAAATGCCTCTGTAGTTAAACTCAGTGAAATGGTTCATAAACGCCGTCGCCCCGGTCCTTGTCAACCTCTCAGTCAGCTACGATGATACTCCCTGATGCCATTAGATGGACGTTCGAGCCACATAAGTTCCACAGGAGCAGCTGAATTGGTGAACAAAATACTGACTTTGCAGCCGGGGGTAATCTAGCTTTGGTCTGAACGAAAAGAAAAGATTTCAACGTGAATACGAAGTTCGTAAGTTTAATGAACGATTGAATTCGTGTAATAAATATTTTCTCCCCTAAATGAAATGGAGAGTTCGACAAACGTCTTGGTTACTCCGTCGCTTAAAGTCTTGAGTCGGTATAATATCGTATTATTGTAAACGCATGATACAAGGTATTCATTATTCACTATTTGTAAGAACATTTTACATGGTTTCCGGCTCAAAGTGGATAGCGTCTGAAGAACAAAGTACCTTAGCTCTATTGTTTAAGCAATTTCTCAGAGTTTACTTTTGTCGCAGTGGGGAAAAACATTAGGCAAAGTGTATTCTGTCCCACTCATGTTTTCTTGTGATGATTTGGGCCATCCGCATGTTGAGAGAGCATCGGTAGAAATTAGAGACAAACTATGGGTTTCTGTTTCCATTATAGACTCCATTTTCGGACGATCTCCTTTGAAGTTCTTCAACAGAATACCGGCATCGTTTTCAGCATCTTGCACACCGATGATAAAATCTACATATAGTTTGTAAAAGGTAGATTTTTCTATGAGTTCTGGGAGTATTCTGTTTTCCATTTTGATCACGAAGACGTTTGCTCGTATTCGTCTCGATGGTAAACTCATGGCCATTGCCCCTTCCTATCCTTACGTTGTAGTAATAAGCTATAATTGTGTGTTATGTGTACATATATAGAGAAGACGTTTGAGCTAATCTATGGACAATCCAACAGGTTTTATTTTAGACATGTGTCTACAATCCCAATCGGTATAGTCAAACACATTTTTGGGCTATTCAGATACCGACACGAGGGGAACAACTGTCCAGTGAACTTTTACTCTCGTCACAATGAATTCCATCGCAGATCAAACAACAAAGCCATTGGTAAAACATATTGATTAAAGAAAGAAAATGGTATCATTTGATATAAAATATTTTAGGGGAGGGTTCAAATTAGGGGTGACGATTGACGCTCTCCACAAGCGACACTTCCACAACCTCTCCGTCATTACTGAGCCCTTTTGATCAGTTTCTTTATCTTGCATTATCGTTTCTCACAGTGGGCACATCTACTGCGGATCACTATTGTTGTTCAAAGTGCATTGGGTTTGAGATGAATTGAATTCAACTGAGTTACGAATTACTGATCGCTTCGTGTAATCGCTGGGCTCATCGTTTTAACAGAGTAGTACACAGATTTGTTCGTGTTGCAGTCCAGATATGGATTTTCCTAATCTTCTAATACTGTTCCCAGGAAAAAACTAAATAGAGCCTTATATGAACACAGTTGCTTTAGCTGAATACATACAGCTATTCACTCAAGAAGATCAGATTTCTTGTATTCCAAGCACAACGAAATATTAATGTGGATTTCAATAAGCAGTGAAAACACGGTGTGAAAGGACCCTCGGGAAAACCTGCACATCTTAAAGTCGAATTTGCACACACGTATGACAACTTCCGACTAACGTTTACGAGTCAATAATGGTGCATTTGTAGGGAATTAAAACATAATATTAGAAATATAAGAATGTACGCTTTCAAGTGAAAACGGTGTGAGCATTACCCTACAGAGCACAAATGTAGCCCATGTCTTTCATTAAACGTGAATGAGCCTTTTCCAGAAGGCAAGAGTAATTCAAGTTAATATGATCTTTCCTCGTATATCATTCTAACTCACTATGCCTACGACCCGTCATTCGGTTTTAGCATGTTATCAGTTACTTCAGTATGAAGAAAGACATCGGTAAGGATGGTGTAAATGCTTATCCTACTCTTGTTGTGGAATACTCATTTGGAATCAAAACAAAAGAATACGTTGTAGACTCTTTTTATTGAAATAACACCACATACATTATAATTTTAACACATATACAATCACAAAAACTATCTCTTATGAATGTGGCAACTGAGAAGCGCAAGGATGAACGAACATCATACGTATAATTGTTGCCTGAATTCATTATTCACCTTCGTGTCCCGAATTTGACAAAACAAACACATCATCTGACTTTGTTTCCGGTTGACCTGCTCGAATTTTGCAAAAACGTAGGCACAGAAACAAATTCGTATGCAAGTATCCCCGTATTGATCTATTCATGCTGGCCAGTACACAGGGCAGAAGACAACTGGACCAAATGATAAACAAAACCCCGAGTTGTTGACTAGTTGATAAATATTGATACCGGGTCAGTTTGAGTGAGGCCAACGTATAGGTGGACAAGTCGTACGAGTGACTCAGGATCAGAATACTGGCCATCAACAATGTAGTCACGGTCAGGCGCTTCATTGTAGCGTTCGGTCCGGTTGTGTGTTTCATACGCTTCGTGATCCCGTATATGATGAGCGCATGTGACACGGTCATGAATGAGATGGGTATGAGATATATCAGTACGAGCCAAGAGTACGCATCATATTTCAGGTACGTCTCCACCGCGGGGCCATGATGAGAGGAGTTGTGCACACACTGACCATCGCGATACTGGCGATAAAGGAAGTTGGGAAGGAACACGACAGTGCCGGTGAGGATGATATAGGTAAACGTGAAGTACAACAGGCGATTTTGTTGCAAACGGTATTGAACCGGGAAGAACACGGCCACAAAGCGATCAAGTGAAACACAGGCAATATTAAGCAGACTCATGATGATTCCGATCCAAATCAGGTTGTCTTGAAACCAAACCACACAGAGAAAAGCATCCAGTCCGGGCAACCCGGTCACTATAGACGCCCCGATCACTTTGTAGAGAAATGTGATAAAACAAGTATAACCGTCTAACACACACTGACAACGCATGTGTACTGTGGTCATACGGGAACCAATTCTGACTTTGAACAGCACATACAGTACGATTGTATTCAGTCCAGTCCCAATCAAGCCAAACACAGCCAGAGCAACTCGAATTGCGTTCATAGCCTCGAAGAGGACAAAGAGATTTTAAGTTATGTTACTGTTTGTCAAATTATCAATGAAATATCGTGATTATTGCCATGAACGAAAAAAACGTTATGATTGGTAGCTTGATGCTTGTAAACTATTGGCCACCCAAAACAAATGCGAGTCATTTTATAATTCCTCCCTGGGATAAATAGCCAGTGTGAATATATCTGGAAAGTTGTATCCCCGACTAAAAAATAAGATAGTTATTAGAGTGTTTCGTGCAGCATCTTTTCATCAAAACATTTTTTCAGTGCATAAACAAGGTAGTCATGCAATTTGGTAAGCTCATTTTAGTGAGTGAAACAGTGTAATTTTCGTTCATGAATCTTCACAAAATTAGTGGTAATTCTAAAAACTCCTGTAAATAATATTTGAATCTAAATATGTGATACGGCAGATATAACTAAACGTTATATGATTAGTAATTATACAGCATGTGTGCAGAGATAGACAGACAGCGAGATAGCTAACTAGATGGATAGATAAATAGATAAATAAACAAATTAATTCAACTACCAATTAACTTGCCATTGCAAGTGCCTTCTTGCAAATATATCAAGATGATATAAAGGAAACGCAGTTGGCTAATATATCATAACAAAAAAGTAAACCACCCTACTTTTACCATCAACTGACGAATTACGTAATATTTCACTAGTCCAGTGAAACCTAGTGCATGTTTAAATTTACCAATAATCTATTCCATCCCTACAATCCAAGTTCGGGTTTATACTGATGTATTTTAAATAATCCTCAAATCGATGAAGATTAAAATTCTCTATTTGTAAATTAAGCATATGAATATCACCCAAAACGCGGATTTTTATTCGGGAACAGTGTAACCAGACACCTATTGGAAACGTTTTATTGCTCTGTTTGTTCCGCATAAAGTGTGACCGCATAAGGAAATTTACGATGAATAAACACTGAATAAACAGACTCAAACCATGCGTAACTGCAGTGGTAAACACGCACGGCTTAGCAAACACGCTAGAAACCGGTCTTCAAGTAACGACTTCAGATTCCCTCTTATCAACATCTGCAAACCTAATTGAGGAGACCAGATGGTCAACCTCTATCACTGTTCATGTGCTCTGGTTTCATATAGCTAATTACTTGAACTGTTCATTTGATTGTTTAATCAAACCAGATGATGAGCAAAGACTAGATCAAACGATCTGTAAAAGATAATCCCTCAAAAACAGTTAACAAATACACAAAAAATACACGGTAGAGACAAATATTCTATCTTTCAACGATCGACCTCATGATGAATCGATCCAGGAATGCTGCCAGCTCAGTTTCTTTCCTATCTGATCAGGTCATCATTTTTGTGTTAACTTCCTCAAAAAAGCACTAATTACATTTCTCGATATTTAAAATAAGGCGAATGGACACCACCTCAACACAGAATAGACAAAATTGTCTGATGTCAAAAATTCTGTTAGGAAGAAAATGTGTATTCTGGATGGACTGTTTTGATGGGATGTTTCTGGCTTGATGAGGGGAACATAGACTGAGAGCTGAAATAAATTTGTCACTCGAAATTAATTGCTTGGGCTAATTTCAGAGTTAATTTTTCCTGAACCACTGACAACGAAGGATTTTCGGGGGCTCATAAAGTGCTAAATTTGGGAAAATTAGGGTAGGTGATTTGTTACACTTCAATCACGAGCGTGGTTGAATATTATCCTCTAAAGAGCAAGGCTACACCAGAGTTTGAAAAGAATACTGAAAAAATAGCAGAAACGGTCAAACTGAAATGAGTGCCTTGTCTAGATATAAGTTTCATACGGGGTGGACTTTAAAACTCTGGAACGCTAGATTGCTGTTTTGAAATAATTAAATTGAGTAAAAGGGTAGCGTAACCCCTGCGATAAAAATATAGCACTGGGGCTATCCTGACAGGCAGTCATGCAGAGGACCCGATTGTCTTTGGTGGAAAATCACAGTTTGCAAAAATTAAAAGCGCCTCTTTATCAATAATGGAAGGCCTCAAAGCTAATATACACTTGTCAATAAAATAACGCACCGTCCACATTGCAGAATCACAGTTGCAGTTCGATCGCGTTCAGACACTGCCTAGGTTAGTCCATAGTTTCAGTTGAGTCCTACACGGGAGTGCCATCTTTAAAGGATAAACTGAAGTTCTATCGAAGGTGTCAAAGATTGGGCCATGCCATGCATCTACCACACTTGATTACCGAGTTCCGCTGACCCAGTGGTGTATAATGTGGTTCAACACTCTCCCAATCCTCCTCCCAAGTAAACGCGTTGACCTTTGGCTGATTGAAGGCTTATTGTTTGAACATGTCACCTCCTAACGTGGTGTATACAAGCCAGTAGTTGACACGTTATAAATGACCGTCCTTCTCCGAATGAGTGCTCTCGTGTTATAAATAAGCTCTGTTGCGTTCCCGAATCGCCCAGAGCGAGAGGAAGAACAAAGACTGTCAGATCCGTGTATTTCATCACGGCGAGAAAGAAACACATTTAACAGCAGGATAACATGAATTCAGTTATTTCGGGTACTTTCAATCAGCTACATACGTACAATGACAATCAAGGTTAAACAACAACAACAAAGACATGATAGGTTATGGGACAAATGAACACACAAATTGGGTCAATCACAAGACAGGGGCAAAGGTCACACAGTCAACCACGGCGAGTAAACATATGACGCGGTTCAGTCCCACCAGGGCAGGGCAAGATTGGCGACCAAGTCTAATTCAGTTTAAACCGTCGAATGGCGGAGGCTTCAGCAAACTGAAGTAGAAGATGGCGTTGTTGTCTACTTATGATCCCAAGGGACTTGCTAGGCTCCACACACAAGTTCTAGTCTAATATGTGGCGAGCAATAGAGCTTTTAAGAACTTTATCTGCCTTCAGCGCCAGATTCTTGGGAATGTGTTCGGAAATCCTTGCGGACAGCCTTCTCTCAGTTCGTCTAACGTACACTGTGATTGGCCCAATTGGTGTGTTTATTTGTCCCAAAACCTATTATATCTTTGTTGTTGTTTAACCTTGATTGTCATTGTACTTATGCAGCTGATTGGTATTGGAAAAAGTCATTCAACCGTGGTTTTCCCGTGCAAGTACACATGTATTCGCATTTTAAATAACTGTGCTTCTGATTAAAAGGTTCTGCAACTTTCATCTTTGCGTGCTTATCCTCCTGCTTCTATTGAATCAGGTACACGAGATAGAACAACCAGGCGCTCATCCGGCTGCGTTTGTGAACAGTATCGGGTTTTGCTGAGTGTTAGAACAATATAGATTGTTATGCTTGAAGGATGTTATCATCTCGTTAAATCAAACCACTCAGTGAATGGGATGAACGCATTTTGTCTCATTTGCAAATGTGGATATTAATAATGAAGAGCTGTGTAACATTGCATGTTTTCGCTACTGCAGAAACCGAGCTTCAATGCTCCGTTGTGTCCAGAAAACATTTCCTCAAAGGCATAATTTCCCTTATCAATTTTATCCACACCTGTGCATTCACTTACTTGTGACTGGAGGGGCTGGTGAATTTTGACCACTTCATTCGTTTCACATCCACTGTCTCCTAATTGTTTTCTGGCTCTATTTTGCATGAACTTTTATTGTAACTGTCAAAGTAACTGTTATAGAAATAAAGCCATGCCCAACTTCAGCCAATGTACTCGTGTACTCATGAAAACTGTCAAACCGAACCAACGTTTGTGAAGCTATTCACTCCCCGTGGATATGAATAAGGAATAAAACAAAAGCACATTCCAAAATATCCGAGGAGTCGGACGAAGCATCTTATGATTTGAAGACTTGCTATTTCCAAAACAAACCATCTCCTTTATTCGTACCAGTATTCTCATTTGTAACATTCGATTCAAAACAAGAAATATGGCCAGATCCCCCGAAAGAGTTCCACTATGGGGATATTCTCAATTTGGTGTGATCACACAGCAAGAAAGCTGTCTGTAAACAAAAACATCCATGACGACTCAATGCATTTTGATGGTTTTGTTACCTTCCACATCGATGGTCGAGTTCCTTATTTTAGACAGAGTGCTGTGATTACATTTATCAAAATGCAAATCTGCCTAGTGGCCCAAAGTTTGATTTCCTGTTCTGCATTCCAAATTAATACAGCTACACTGAATGTTAAGTACAGATATCGAGGGTTGGTTTTGGTCAACTCCCTGCATTTAAATTGCGTAGAAAACGGTTCTTTGTCCGTGGTATGCGATCACACAAATTAAAAGTTCCCTCTCCCTTTTTAGGAAAACTAACCACGTCTCTTTTCTTCAAAACCGTGATCAGAACCTGCAAAGCAGACAACGCTCTCTGGCTAATCTTATGACGCTACGACATTTGGTTTATCACTCATATCTTGCTGTTTTTCGTTCTAAACCCTCTGTTTTCTGTGATAACTAAATGGGTTTTTCAATTATTGTATTGAAACTTTCGTCCATTAGACGCTGTGCACTTCCGTTCTGGTCGACTTTTCTCCTAATACAGTAAACAACTTCGCAATAAAAGGAGTGTACCTTCAGAATGCAGGAGACATCCTTTCTAAATCCATCAGGAATGAATAAATCAGGCTCTTTTGTATATATACGCGCACACGGCCTCGCAATAAAAGCAATTGACTGATCAGGGAACCCGTCATGCTGATTTCTGTCCTCTAACCTCACCAATCAACCATTGTGAGCAAAGAGGGACGGAACCATAACCTCATCAACACTGAAAGTGCATTTCCTGTCATGCCCAAGAAAAGTGAAATGGGCATGCTCAACCCGGATACTGTGGTCGCTCCTTTCAGACATCTAACACAAAGTGACCCTACTAATGGAATTTAAATTTCTGCCCCGAGAGATTGTGTGCTGTCTCCTTTCTCTGCTCTGTCGAAATTCGTTAATGACAGTTTTTCACAACTAGGTGTTCTCAACTTTTTGGGAGTAGCCTCAATCACCCCTATACCGAAGCAA